TTCTTACATTAAGACAATTTCACTGTTCAAGGATAATTCGGAATTTTGTTTCCTTAGCTTAGTCCAGTAGAATGTAATACCTTGAACTTTATTTTTTTTTTTTTGGTGCCTGTCCTGCAACTTGAATACAGGGCCTAGTCATTAACCTTAAGTTTCTTTTTGCTTAAGGTTAGTGCTCTACCACTTAAGCCACAGTGCCACTTGCAGCTTTCTCTAAGTATTATATCAGAGATAACAATTTCACAGACTTTGAACTCTGATCCTCAGATCTCAGCTTCCTGATTAGCTAGGATTACAGCCGTAAGCCACCAGTGCTCAGCTCATTCTAAACTTTTAGACTCCTGGGATCTCAAAGGATAAAAATTTGTGCAAAAGCACTGATAATAAAAAACTAAAATGAGAATTTAATACCCATTAACACAATTTCTTCTCCTGAAAATTTCTATAAATCATAAAAATACATGTATTGGTAAAATATGCCAAAAGACCTGTAACTATGTGTGAACACGTGATTTTAAATATGTGCTATTCTGTCATGACTATGTTTTAGATTTTAAGAAGTAAAATAGAAGGAACAAGTAAGAGATGGGGATATGTTATAAAAAAAACAAAACAAAACACACACACACAAAGAAATGGGTGAAAGTTATCAGTTATCAGTTCCAGGTGCATTGTAAGATTGATGAGAGAGGACCAAGTCCAAGAACCACACTACACACAAACTTTCCTGAAAATAGAACAGAAATACCATTAAGAAACTCCAATCACAAAGATAAGAATCTCTTCAGAGGGCACACCTCAAGTTCCTAAGAAACATGAATTTTGCTAAGAAACACAAGAAAAGGGCTTTATGAAGATGCAGGCAAATGACACTAAGGCCATGAGTACTTGTGCAGAGACCATCAACACCCTTGTAAACAACCAAAAGGAGTTGATAACAAATGCAGGATCCCCTAAGGGTGGTTACCAGCAAGCTTCAGAAACTTGCCTACATCACCCACTCCAAGCTTGGGAAGCATATTCATTGTCCAGTGTCACAGGCTCAGGTGAAAGCACAGGTTCAGCCAAGGCTGGAACTCCAACCATATCTCCAGCTCAGGCCCAGGCTTTGGGTCAGGCTGTTAAAGGTGCCAAGGCCCTTGGGAAGGCACCATAAATAAGCACCACAGCCAGTGTGAGGACAAGTGGATTGGTGTGAACCCCAGCCCCTGGTTGGCCAGATATGAAAAAGAAAGGAAGAAAGAAATTTAGGCTGACTATATTGGTACATATCTTAAATTTCAACTACTCAGGAGTAAGGAATTGGAGGACGGTGGTTCAAGATCATGGGTTGAATCCATCCTAGGAAAGGCTATGAAACTCTTATGTCCAATTAACCACGAAAAAAATTAAAAAGCTGGAAATATAACTATCACACAAATGGGAGAATGCTAGCCTTGAGCAAATAAAGCTTAGGGGCAGCATCTGGACCCTGAGTTCAAGCTCTACGACAGTGCTCTCTCTCTCTCTCTCTCTCCCTCTCTCTCTCTCTCTCTCTCTCTCTCTCTCTCTCTCTCTCTCCACACACACACACACACACACACACACACCTGCCAACCTGAGGTGGGTGAGGGAAGTGTTGATAAAAATAACATTTAGTCCCAAAGTAAGGATTGTACACGGCCTATGGACAGCATCACCAGTAAAAGCAGCGCAGTGGCTCATGAGGTAATGACCCAGATTAACAAGCATGCAGGGTGACATGAGGTCCACATTAGAGCATGAATATATTGCCCCCCTTCAAATGTAACTAGTGACCAATTATGCTCTGGTGGCCCCTGGGGCAGAGCCATCCCTCAAAACAAAAAAAAAGTCAATGAACCGATTAAGATATGAAGATGCTAAGGTAGCACACATAAAGGAAATTAGGCTTATCCTCAGCATAAATCAACCATCTTCCTCAGGAGTGCATATCTCTGCCATCTAAGAATCATATTGTATGAGTAGATGTGCTTCTGGGGCAAAACTCCATACTACACAGTAGGAGAATTCTACCTGAGCAATGCAATAACAGCAGCTTGGGAAGATGAGAACCAATAGACAGCTTTCCCCAGGCAGGCCAGTTAACATTCAGCAGTGTAGATTTCCAAGGAAAACACACTGACCATCACCCTCAAGTGATCCATTATAGATAGGACATGCAAACTTAAAACCACAGCTCACAGCTCGAGTCGATATGATTTACCAGTAATACTGTGGGATTTACCAGTAAAACTGTGGGGTACCAACTCAGCTCTTCACCCCTCTATGGCTGCTACTGACAATCACAGTGAACTCTTCCTGTGGGCTGCGAGTTCATTGTCCATGTGAAACAAACCCAGGTTGTGTTTCAAGAGTTTTCTGAAAATCACAGTATGCCAGAGTTTGCATCCAATGCCACAGAATGAACACCTTCAACAAGAGCCACCTCTAGGATCAGCGGTAGAACACTTGCCTTGCATGCATGAGGCCCTGGGTTCGTTTCCTCAGCACCACATGTGCAGAAAAAGCCAGAAGTGGCGCTGCTTCTCAAGTGCTACAGCGCTAGCCATGAGCTGAAGAGCTGAAGGACAGTGCCCAAGGTCAGAGTTCAGGCCCCATAGACGACACAAAGAAAAAAAGTCAAAAGCAAGAGACACTTCTAGAGCACACTGCCACATCATTCTGTATCAGCTATAGAGTCTTGGTCCTTGTCCAAAATAGACTTCAAAAAGAAATGGTGGACTCTTAGCTACAGTCCACACCACTATTAAGCAGGGAATTATTTTGGTAAAAGGAGAGGATTTATGAAGTTCTTCTGCTATTAGAATATAAGGGACCCTACTGCTTGAGGAAGATAATGTGATTATTTGATTCTTCCCCATACATTTAAAGAGTGGAATTAAGTAGTATTCATTTTTCTGTGCCTGGCTTATTCACATATTATAAAGTCTAACAGGTTTTCTATGTTGCCACCTATGTCCAGACTTCCTTCTTTTCTTATTTTAATTTTTATTATTTTTATTGCTATTGTAAAGGTGATGTACAGAGGGGTTACAGTTGCATAATTTAGGCAGTGAGTACATTACTTTGGACCAGTGTTACCTATTCCTTCGTTTTTCTTGCAGTTTTTCCCCTCATTGCTCCCACAAATTCTATAGTTCATTTTCAACATAGTGTCCAGTGAGTATCACTGCTGCATTTTTTCAGCCTTTTTTTCCACCATTTCTGTGCTCCCTAGGACTCTCTCCAGGGTGGATAAACTTACATACAATTCAA